AACTACTTTTTAAGTATAATAGAAAATAATGTTAAATCCTCTTGAGACTTATGTTGGTTTTTATATGTTCTTTTTTGAATCTGTGAATGTAAAACTAGTGTTATAACCAGAATGACAACCACAAGAAACAACAAAAACAAGTCAATTATTATATATGTTTATAACAAATTTTTCTTAAAGTAAAGATAAACTATTTAAAAGAATGAAAAGTTTAACTTATGTTATACAATGTAATTCCAATAAGATTACAAATCCTTCTTCCAAAAGTAGTTTTATAGAATGTTAAATTATTATTTAAGAACAAATGATTAAAAAGAAAATTAAATTCAATTAATAACAATTATTATTATTTATTGCATAAAGCTTTATTCTTTTGTAAATCAAACTACTCAAAACAAACTCAAAAAATAATAAAAACAAAACCAAAAGAATAGGTTGTATTGAAAGAGCTTATTTAATAAATGTTATATTACCAATAAGGATAAAATCAGTTTATTAAATTTATGGATATCAATAAAAATGGATGTCTTCATTAAAAGACTTAAAAATGTCTATATAATCTAATATCATCTACTTTAATTGAAAAATAAAAAAAAGTAAAAATATACAGTTTTATATCTGACATGTTTAAAATGTTTATTCATATAGAAATTCTTCATGTAGTTATTGATTTATTAATAATTAAATTAGAAAGAAAAAACTTTTTAATCAAGTTAGTAAGTTATATTCTTCTTGTAAATTTTCTAAGTTTTAATTCTTTATTAAAAGAAAAAGTAACAGTCATTCTAAAATAGAAAATTAACATTAATAAGTTCATTACATTCTATTCATAATGTAATAATTACTTTCCTAAGTTAATAAAACACTTTTTATAGAAACTTTTTACCATTAATTCAGTATTTGTTGGAGTAAGAATATCGACTATCTTAACGAGACTATTTGTGTAGATTGTGTTAATTTTCAAAGAGATAATGAAGAATTAATTAAGTTATTCTCATACAATGATTTAAGTAATATTAAATTATCAAATATATATAAAACCCCATTCAATTAATATAAAAGAGTATTATAATGAATTTAATAATGAACTAAGAGAGATGTATTAAAATGTTATATATTGGAAATGATAGTGAAATTGGAGGATATGTCTTTATTAATAACTTGATTAGTTATAATAATTTATTTTCAATAACATAAACTTTTAATAGTATCTACTCTGAAATTTAAAAAAAGTTATAACACAACCAAATATTATACAAGAAAATAATACTTTAAATTATATTAATGAATATCAATATTGTGTTAGTAGTCATATTAACAAATTTCTATGTCAAGTCTTTCAACCATTAACAAAATTATTTTTGGTTGTTGTACATTAATTATTTTCATTTTAAAATGTGTAAGTGATATAACAAATATAAATTCTATTAAATTAAGTTGTTATGAGTTGAATAATAATATATTAAAAGAGTTAATAAATCGAACGCTGAACATTATTTTAATGGTATAATAATTTCTCAATGTGAAACATATACTTCAAAAGAAAAATCAATAGAAACCAATATCATTTCATATAAAAAAACTCGGATTTAAACATACACTCAGTTTATTATCATCGATGAATACTAAAATTGATAACCAAAAATATTATTTATTGTTGCATAAAAAATAATATAACATTAATTTTAATTCTTGTAAATTAAATCAAATTACTATTACTAAATCTCATAATATTGGTTTTGATGTACCTTTTTCTTTTATCAAGCATGTATTGAACTAAATATTTTATATTCTTATAGTAATATAATATATTATTATCACCTATTAAATACTTTAATATTATTAGAAATATTCATTCAATAAAGTTATCAGATCATTTTTAAATGAAATATCTTTATTTGGTAGTGTGCAAATCATTTCAAAGGAAATAAAAACAATTATTTTTCTTTGTTATGATTTAGTTAAACTAAAAGTATTATTTCCAATGAAATGTCACATTAAAAGTAATTCTCGGAATATTATATGTATTGAATATAAATAATAATAAAAATGTTATATTAAAAATGAATATATCATCAAACTTTAAAAGTGATAGTGTTGGATGTCTTAAAAATGGAGAGTTGAAATATTTTAATAGATGAAAATCATATAAGAAAATTAATTATTGTTGATGACGTTTCTATTACTTTTCTCAATTCACCCTTAATTGATAAAAAAGTATATTCTCTCAGCTTGTCAAATACTTAAAGATAAACCAAATAAAATACCTGAAGTGTATTATGAAGAATTAAAAATAAAAAACATATGGGGATTTTTAGGCTCTAATGAAGTATTGTATTTGAAATTATTTCCTTTCAAAAAAGTTACAATTTGCTCTGGTTTATATATTAATTTTTATACTTTTGAAATATAACATTTAACTATTCATCTTAAGTTCCACTAATGAGTATAAAAATAAACCCGCCAGATAACCTTACAGTAACTAACTATTATTGAAGGTGGAAACAATTCTTTCCCATTAATATGTCAATTAAGACTAAGTCATTCATATAGCATTTCTTTGAAAAAAAAGAAAGAAACGGTTAATAGAAAATAAATACAAAAATAAACATGTTCTAATAATTTTAGAAATTTGGTTATTAGAAATGGTAACAACTTAAAATTCATACAAGGTATTAAACATCTAAAAAAGATTCATGTTCAGTCTTATGCTAATTTGGTAGATTTAATTAGATTATCAAAAATAGTTAGTTTACACAGAAAAGATTTTTCTAAACTTATAACACAAAAATGCTTCAAATCTTTATTTAACTATTATCATATTATTTTTTAATTTTGAAATAAGAAATAAAGTCTAATTTATAAGTCAATTGGATGGAGGATAGTAATGTCTTTCCCATCTCCTTGAAAATTCGTTGTTGTTGCTCTGTAAGGACAAACTTCTTTGTGAAGTTCATCAAAAGATTTTCCAAAAAAGTCTTGGCGTACATAATTTTCTTTTGATTCAAGAATAGCCTTGTTTAACTTTTCAAATTCATTGGTTGATTGAATTTGTATTGACATTTTCTTTTTCTAAGTTCTTTTTGGATTTTTGAAACAATAAAATTTAATTTATTAAAACCATTCAATAACTAAAACTTTTTCAGTGTTAAATATTTCTGGATAACAATTCCCTGTTAATAATTCTTTTCCAACTAATGAAGGTATTGAATAGTGTTGGTCTATATTCCTAAATACAAACGATTCGTTGGGATGGTTAGAAATCAAAAATGCATTTTGAACTCCAAAAAGTTGTGCTGAATTTTGTGGATAAAAAACAAGTCTAGACGATTGAACCCTTGGTGTAATTTTTGTGGCTGTTGTATGATGAGGATTCTTCAAAGAAAAAATAAAAAAGCCTTTGTCTTCAGGTCCTGCAGATTCTTCTTTTTCTTTTATTTTAGGAATTCTTGCTTGACTGAAACACCCAAATACCCATTTATCACTAGTAAGTACAACAAATGCAAGATTACTTCTTCCATCAACTTTTTTATTAAAAGCGAAAGTTGTGAATTCATCAACCTCAGTATTGTAAATAATTCGGTATTTTGTTAGTCCAGTCCATTGTTTTAATTTATCTATATGTTTTTTATGAATGAATAATTGTTCTTTAATATAATTTTCAATACTATCATCCATAAATGATTCTTTTCTTTCTATTGATAACTCACTGTCAGATTCACAATGAGTTGATTCTTCATCTTCAGGAAATAAAGTCCTTAAACCATATTCTTTTTTTACAGGAGTTCTAAACTTTTCTTTTAAGAAACCAAGTTTTTTAAATTCATCAACAGTATTATTATTATTTTCTTTAGAATAAACTTCATGATAAGCTACTTTACCAACAATATTCAATACTCCTTTATTAAGAAGATTAATCACTTTATATTCTTTTGGGATTGGAGTACATATAATAGAAGGGCTTGTAAAATCACTTTCAGTAGATAAATATGATTTGTGAGAATAAAAAAGATTTGACTCATCTTCTTGTTTATAACTTTTATTTGTTGGTTCAGTAAATAAGTCTTCAGTTATAAGCTTTATCCCCGTAAATTCTTTTGACATAACTTCTTTTTAGTTTAGCTATACTTAAATAATTTAGTCTATTCTAATGAAAAAAAGATATCCACAAAAGAGATTGTAGTAAAGAAGAAGTTGCATTAATTTCGTTTTTGAGAGACAGATATTTTATTCTCTTCTTAAAAATGTTGTATGAATAAATCATTACAAGATTAATTTACTTTCTTTTTATTTCATTTAATCCTACAAATAAGAGAAGATCATTTATATTATCAATTAATAGAAAATAAAAAAAACAAGTTTCTTCTTATTATTTTATTGTATTCTTATTTTTTTCTTTTTCTATTTCATTAATAAATTTTTCTTCTATTTTATATATTTTTCTATAAACGAAAATATTCCCAAAATTCTCTCTTCTTCTCCACTCTTCGTTAAATTTCGGAAAATACATCCAAACCATTCTATTTGTTCTGTGTAAAAAGCCCTTCCTTTATCAACCTCATCTGTCTTTTTTATTAATAAAATTTTTGAATGAGCGCAACACAAAAAATAAAATCGTTTATTCAATTCTTTAATATTCCTAATTACTTCATTGGTGGATTTACTATTAATATGGCAACATATTTTTGTTGGTTAATTATTCCATTATTAATGAAAGAAAATGGTGCGAGTTCTTTCTTAATTGGTTTAGCAGATGCGGTTACTTTTGGGATTTGTGGATTGTTATGTCCCATCATTGGGTTATTCTTAAACAAAAAATGGTTTCCAATAGCAGATATTTGTCGAATTGGTTTTGTTTTACAAGCCATTTCTGGAATTTGCATTGCTTTATATTATATTAAAGGAACACTTTTACTTCCAATTTTCTTTATTTTAATACTTCAATCATTTGCTCTTGCATTTTTCTGGTCAATTTGTGAATTTATGTTGTCTGAAGAAGCATATAAAGGAGAAGTTAACAAAGTTATTTCACGATTTGCTTGTTCATGGTCATTAGGAAAGGCTATTGGATTTTGTGTTAGTGGACCAATGAAAACTGCTTTTGGGAATACATTTTCATTGTATTTCTCATCATTCATTTCATTAATCTCTTTTGTTCTTTTCCCTAGAATGCCAAGAAATAGAAGTGATATTACCCGTAGTGAAGCAAAGGCTTTAAGAAAAAAAGAAAAGAATGTCAAAGGACATGATAGTGTTTCAGATATTTCAGTTGATATTGAAGAACTTAATAACAGTAAATCAGTTTCATCAGACGAAAGTGAAGAACAACCAAAATCTTCAAATGAAAGAAATGAAATTAAAAATATTACAAAAGAAGAAAAGAATGAGAAGAATAACTCATCAGAAAAAAAGAAACAACCTAAACCAACATATACTCCATATTATTTTATGATGTATTATTTTAATAATCTTGTTATTCATTTCACTGTTTATGGTACAATTGCTGTATTTGGTAACCAATACATTGACTTTGTTGATGAAAATAATATTGTCTTAAATGGAGTAAATGATGACCCTGCTACTTTTGCTAGTGTGTTTCTTGGAATTATTTATTTTAGTCAAACAATTACCTTCTTCGTACTTGGTTTATTCCATCATTGGCAATACGTTTTAAGTCTTAATATTATTGTTCAAATAATTATTGCTGGAGTAAGTGTTGGAATGGTCTTTATTAGAAATGGATGGGTTTTATGTGCATTTGCTGTTGTTATAGGAATTATTTCTGGATATGAACTTCAATCAATTGTTGTTTACTCTGTTAGTTCACCACCAAAAAATAAAGGTAAAATCTTAGGGTTGACTGAATGTGTTGGAGAGTTAACATGTTCATTATGTCCATTATTTGCTGGGCTTCTTGCCACTGCAATGGATGATAGAAGGTATGCACTCTATCAAGGTATTGTATTACAAGTTGTTGGTATTGTGCTATGTATTACTTTGATGGCAGTGACAAAAATTCTTGAAATAAGAAGAAAGAAAAGAGTAGGAGAAGATATTGGTATTGAAATGTTAGAAGAAGGTCAAGAAAATAGTGAGGATCAAAAAGAAAAAACATCTTCAGAATTATTTGGAGGTAGTCCTAAGACAAAACCTACACAAGTTGAATCTGATCAAAAATCTGATGTTGAAGTACCAATGGTTATTGTGAAAAAAGAAGAAGAAAGTGAATCATCTACACTCTCTTCTTCTTCTAATAACAGTGAAGATGATTAAAAGTAAAAAAAACCAAAAACATATTAACAAATTCATATACCTTATTTTTAGACGTTAATAATTTATTTATTAATAATTTTATTTAATACGTTTATAATATTTTCTTATATTTATGTTTATAGAGTAAAACGTTTCTATAATATTAGAGTAATAGTATTTTGAAATTATAAAATTAATATTGAATAATTTTTTTTTTAAGAAAAGATCAATTAAACATTTATTTATCGTTTTATCATTTCATGGAAAATCAGTATCGATTTAAAGTTGTGTTTTATGGAAACCATCGTGTTGGAAAAACTTCTATAGTTAATAAACATCTTACAGGAGAATTCCATGCTCATGTAAAAGAACCAACTGCATTATTTGTTTGATTTTTAATGTTATAATAATGTATGTAAAATGACATTAACATCGACAGGATACAACAACCATTGAATTAACAGGAAAAAAAGGTATAAAGTATAGTGTTATTATGGACCTTTATCATAGTCCAAAAGAAGATATATTGACTGATTCACCAGTTTTCATTGGTAAAGCAGACGCTATCGTTGCAGTATTTTCATTTGATGACTACAAATCATTTGAAGATACTGAAGGGTGGTTATTTTTTGGAATGAGCCATTCAGATCCGAAAGTCCAATTTATTATTGCTTCAAAAGCTGATAAAAAGGAAAAAGTAGTACAAAGGTCAGAAGGAATTGATTTGGCAAAAAGACTTGGAGTGAATTATTTTGAAGTTTCAGCTCGTTCTGGTAAAAATATTCAAGACTTCTTTGAAACATTAGCTAAAATACTTTTAAAACAGAAACTTGTTTCAACTCAAAAACTCTCCAAACAACCTTCTTTACTTCAACAATTTAGTAAATCGAATGAAGAATATCAACGACTTGATTCTGAGATTAATTCTGTTTTTGACCATTAAAATCACTTGTCTTTTCATTCTTTTTTTTTAAGACTTATTTGTCTTGTAGTTTGTGAGTGATTATTTTATTTAAATTATCCGAAAAGGTAAAACCTAATAATATTTCACATTAAATTTAAATCTAAAACGTCTTTTATAAAAGATGTATATTTTTCTGTTACTGGAGTTGTTTGTGAACAATAAGGATCTCTTTGGGGAACAAACATACCAACACCCATTTGAGCTAATTGATCAGAAGTTAGTCCATTTTTTTCTGCATGAACTAATAATTCTCTAAGGAATGAAAGGATATAATAAAAAGTGTTAAAGTTATATGTTGGTAATTTTTTGTATAATAAAGAACAAAAGTCACGACTTTCCATTGTCATTCCTTGAGTAGTAAATTCTGTTGGAATTATAGGTGGAACTGAATTAATTTGTGAAACCAATAGTCCACATAAGGAATGTACATTGTATTTTTTGCCACATAAACTTTCTCCATTATGTAAAAGGTGTTTGATTTCCATCATTTCTTTATCATTTCCTCTTACCAATAACATACAAGGTGTGTCTAATCCTTTACGATAAATATAGTCAATAATTTTAACAAGTTGAGTACTGATAGGAATTTCATTCAATGTGGTTGACATGTTGTTTTATTGTTATATCATTTTGTTTCTTTTTTTCTTTTTTAATTTCATTTATAAGAAAATACTCTTACTTCAGATAATATCAAAAAATTTTAAGTGAAAAACATTAATTAACCTTTTTTTGATTTTAAATTAATTTTGATTTAATATCATATTTTTTATAAACAAAAAGAATAACAATTTTTATTGATTTATTGATTTTGTTTTAACATCCTTTTCCATAAATTGATATGAACGACGTCACTAATTATC